ATTATTTAAACATGAATTGAATGTTAAAGATAATATTAATTTTGGATTTTTTAAACCTAAGTGGCATATACCCAACCCAATTCATATTCTGTTGTTGTTTTTGATTTTAAACTATTATCTAAAAATTCTTTTGTTGACGAGGCTTTTAAAAAATTTTCAATTGATTCCTCTCTTGCTAGGTGTAATACTATTGATAATAAGCTCTTAAACGAATAATATTCTAATCTTTCTTTAACTATTGTTGATATATTTTTATTACTATCGCTATAGTTTGGGCATTTATCTTTTTTTTGTTTATTTTTATTTTTATTTTTAATATTATTATTTGATTTTAATATATTGAATAATTTTATTAAAATTGTTAAACAACCTAATGACCATTTTAAAATTGGTTCGTACCAATAGAATGAGTTTTTTTGAAGTAATGATAATAGATTTTCGTGAATTGTGAATAAACTTTTCTTTAAATCTGTACAATCAAGAAATCCATCTAAATCTTTGATTTTATTAGTTGAGTTATTTATGCTACTTCTTCCATTCTTATTATTGATATGGGTTGAAATACCTTTATTATTTACTATTATATTATTATTAAATTCAATTTGAAAAAGGTGAATAAATAAACATGAAAATTGATTAAATATGCAGCTTTTAACAGTTTTTGGTAAATCTTTTAAATAGAAACAATATTCTTCAATTTCTTTTAATGATTTATTTGGTGATTTTATATATACAATTTCATTATGTGATATTGATTTTTTATTTAATTTGACTATTGATTTTAAATTACTTATATCTTCATCTATTATTAGTTTATTTATAAATGATTGTTTTTTTAAATTATCACTATTGTTATTATTAATATTATTATTCATTTCTTTGATGAAAAAAAAAAAGAAAAATGAAATTAATTAAAAATAAAAAAAAATTTAAAAAAAAAAAATTTTTTTAAAATTTTTTTTTTTACAATTAATTTTTTTTTTTTTCTATTTTTTATTTTCATTTATCTATTTATATAAAATCAAATCATTTTTAAAAGAATATAAAAAAAAAAAAAAAATTTTTAAAAAATGATTTTAAAAAGAATTACTTTAATATAAACATTAAGGCCCCCAAAAACGATTTTATTAGAATTTTTAATATTAATAAGTTTTTAAAAACTTATTTTTAATAAACTTAAAAAAATGTTTATTAAATTGTTTTTTTAAAAAAAAAAAAAAAACAATATAAAAATAATTATTTTTGTTTTTTATTTTTTATATATTTATTTTCTCTAACTTAAATTTATATATTTATTATTTTTTTTTTTCTAAAAAAATATCTGTAAAAAAAAATGTCAATATTTCCAATTTATTTATATGATAAAATATTGGAATCACTTTTATATTATTTATATTATAGAGAAAAAACCAAACTTAATAAAAACCCAGATAGAAAAAATCTTCCTCTCAACAATGAATTAATAAGCTACTGTTTAGTAAATAAAAGATGGTTTCAAATAGCCCAAATTTTCTTTTCCAAAAATATCAATTTTTCAAACGATAAATTTATTATTAGACCAAATATTAAACTGCCTATAAAAAATAACAATAATAACCAAAATAGCAATAATAATCAAAGTAAAAATAACAACCAAAATAACAGTGATAATCAAAATAACAATAATAACCTAAATAACAATTTATCTGATACTAATAATAATAATAATAATAATAATAATAATAATAATAATAATAATAATAATAATAATAATAATAATAATAATAATAATAATAATAAATTTAATCCCATTTTAATCAATAGTCAAATTAAATTTTTTTACGATGGAGAATATATAAAGGAATATGGTTCATTATTTTTAGACAATCTAATTCAAATAGATGATTATAAAAAAATGAACTTTAATTTTTTTAAATCTCAATATCCACCTAATTGCAGATTTAATATAAAAATAATGCCCATTGGTCAAAACATTTTCCAAAACTTTATAAACTCATCCGACACTGTGAATATAAAAATAAACAAATTAACAATAGAATGTCAAAAAAATCAAAGTATATCATCAGATAAAATTGAAGATATTATAAAATTAAACCCAAAGAAAATAAGTTTTAAGAGTTCCTACTTTGGTGATTACCAATTTGGCCACATTGACTATTCCCCTTTAATTCTTTCAACGTCTATTCAATCATTAAAAATAGAAAATGGTGACGTTGTAGAGCCATACATCTTTTCGAAACTAGATCATTCCTCAAATATAGAGTCACTCGCAATACCAATACCATTCCATTCCCACAACGAAGAAATTATTTGTACTGGTAGTTTCCCCTCAATATTTTTTAATCCAAAAGAATATATTAATATCATGGTAATGAATCTACAGAATAATAAAAAAATCAAAAAGCTCTCCATTACCAATTTGTGTTGTTCAATTTGCAAAAGAAATGCCAAATCAAACCAACCCATCATCAGTACCGGTTTACACGCAATATTAACAAGTCCTCACACTGTTATAGAAACATTGGTTTTAAAGAATTTAAAGTTTTTGGATGCTAATTTACTCTCTGCTTTGTCCATAAGCAAAACAATAAAGAACTTAGTATTGATAGACTTTGAAAATAATGAAGATTTGTTATTACTATTCAAGAACGTATTATCAGTCAACAGAATCATCAGACATGTCTCCATCGTCTCAGAGTCAATAAAGCTATTAGAACTGTTCAGAGAATGCGACAACACAATTGATATATACTCATTGACAATTGATACCTATGAAAGTAGAGATTATGAACTATCCAAGTGTATAGAACTAATTAAACAATCCAATCAATTCAATATCAAGGAACTAAATTTCTTTAATTCAAATAAACTAAAATCAAATCAAAAAATAAACAACACAATAATTACAAACTCGTTAACTTAATAAATAAATAAATAAATCATAGTAAAATATATTTAATCAATATTTAAATATCTATAAATCATTTTTATTAATAAATATTTTTAATTATATATTCAATTTTAAAAAATTAAGATTTTCAATAGGAGGTGGCGCTATAATTGATGGATATTCACTATCTTTTTTTCTTTGCTGCTGTTGCTGTCGTATCATCGGTTGTTGATTTTGGTTTTGTTGTTGCTGTTTTTCAAAGTCATCTTGCACTTTAAACTGATTTAATAAATTTATGGTCTCTATATTATCTGCTGGTTCATTTTTTAATAATTTTAGGTTTTTTAATTCTCTTTTATATTTTCTAAATAATTTAATAAAATAATTAGTAATGCTGTTTAGTTATAAATAAAATAAAAAAACCAATTAATTAATTAATTAATTAATTATATACATACGATCTTTCATATTGAATAATATTTTTCAAAGATTCAATATGATCTTTAGTTGTTTTTAATCTATCTTCTACCAATAATTGTTTTTTGTGCGTGGTTGTTGTTGTGGTTATTGTGGAGTCGTTATTGTTACTATTATTACCATTATTTTTATTTGAATCATCTGCTCCTTTAATATTTAAGGGTGAATCTAATCTGAATTCATTTTCATTCATCAAAAAGACCAACTCTTTAATTAGATTATTGATTATGCCTTTCAAATGATTCACTTCTTCGGGGGTGTTTCTTTCATCCAATTGGGTTTCCAATACAATTCTATTAGAATTAAAATAGTTTAAATTTAGATTAATATTTATTTTGATTTTTTTTATTGATTTTTTTATAAAATTTTTGGTTATGATTTTGATTTTGATTTTGATTTAAGTATATATATGCTATATATTGTATGATATAAAAAATATACTAATAATTACCTAGCAGATTGTTTGAAGAGTTCTTTAATTTCATTTGAAGATTCTATTGAGATTTTATATTTTTCTTCTAATTTTAATTTTTTTAAATCATTACTATTATTTTTTATTGTATTGTTTCTGGTTCTACTATTTTTGTCATTATTATTAATATCAAAATTAACTGTATTTATATTATGGTTGTTGTTGTTGTTGTTGTTGTTGTCTTGTGATGGTACAACATTACTACAAAAATCACCCCCAATATTTCTATTATTAGAATTTAAATTTAATGTTGTTTTTAACTTTCTTTTTTTCATTACTACATTATTTTTTCTATTTTTTTATGTTATAAATAAATGCAATAAAATAAAAAAAATAAAAAAATTTGTAAAAAAGACAAAGGAGTTTCTTTTTTTTATTTTTTTTTTTTATTTTTATAATTTTTTTTTAAACAAAAAAAAAAAAAAAAAAATTTAAAAAAAAATAAATTAAAAAAAACTTACCCCATTAGAAAAAAAAAAAACCTTATAAATACTATAGCAGGACTTGTGCACATAAAACATAATTTATTTATACATATAGATAAATCTTCTAAAAATATAACACATATTAATATAATTTATTTATTATATTATGCACATAATTTTAAATTTTTAATTTTTAATTTTTAATTTTAAATTTTAAAATTTAATTTTTTAATTTTTTTTTTTTCGTATAATAATAATAATAATAACATGATACATAAAAATTAAATAATGATATCCGATAGTTATAATTTTGTAAATAGTAATAGTAATAATAGTAATAGTAATAATTATAGTGGTAATAATAATAACAACAACCAATTTGTGTATAATAATAATGAATATATTTATAATAATAATAATAGCGTTGATAATGAACAGCCATATGCAACAACACCCAATCTTTTATCCATGAATCATATGAACCATATAAGCCACATAAATCTAATAAATAGTAATAATAATATTAAAACAACAAACTCAAATTTAGAATCATCCACCAATTTAGATTCATCCAGTGATATAAATGTTTTAAATCAGGACTATAACAAGCTGAAATCAAGTTTTAAAGCAAATCAAAGAGTACAACAATTTGAAAATGAAGATACAATTAATGAAAGTAATAACATAAATTTAAACTCAACTAAAGCTTCATTGGAATCTGAAGAAGAGGAAGATGACGAAGACGAAAATTATTCAGATGTTGACGATTCTGATACATCCTCAAATTATTATAATAATGATGATAATAATGATAATAATTATAATATGAATAATAATATGAATAATAATAACAATAATATGAATAATTATAATAATAGTAATAGTAATAATAATAATAGTAATAATAACAATTATAATAATAATAACAACAACTATAACTACAATAAACAGATGGAAAGTGAAAATTTAAATAACAATAATATGAATAATAATCAATTACACCAAGAGATTATAAATTTAAAAAAACAATTAAAAAAAACAAAAAGAGAAAAATATTTATTAGAGTTTAAAAATCAACTATTATTAGATATGGTATGTAAATATAATTTATATTAAAAAATGTATTTATACTAATATATTTAAAACAATAGTTAACTTTAAGTAGTTTAGATGTTAAATATTTTGAAAATCTAGAAAAAAAATGGGTAAAACAACAAGAGCAATACCAGGTATTACAACAACAAGTGATTTTACAACAATCAAGACCACAAACTGCCATTGGATATGCAAGAGTGCCATCATCGCCTCAATCATTCCCGCTAAAAAAAAATAATAATTTAAATTATTTTAGTGATTCACCTAATAACCAATACTCAAGACCACATACTCCGCAAACCCATTTATATAACCAACAACAACAGCAACAGCAACAACAGCAACAACCACCATTATCAGCAAGCCAACAGCAACAGCAACAACAACAATTACACCAACAACTTCAACAATTTCAGCAATTTCAACAATTTCAACAACAATTACAAAACTCTTCGCCTGCTGCTTTCCAATCATCCTTTCCTCCACTTCAAGCGAACTTTAACCAAAACAATAATAATCAAAATATTCAAAACAATCAAAACAATAATAATAATAATAGCCAAGCTTCTTTAAACCGAAATATATATAATAGTAGCTTTTAAATTTATTTATAAATAATAAAAATGTATATAATAAAACTTTTATTTAATTTTTTTTTTTTCTTTTTTATCTTATTTTATTTGGCTTAATTATACAAATATTTATTAAAAAAACTAAAAAAATCAATTAAATCAATTAAATAAATACTATATTTGTTTATTGTTTATATTTTTTTTGATTCTTTTTAAAATTCTTTTTATAGCCACCATTGTTTTTGAATTTTGTAGTTTTCGAATTCTTTTTGTTTCTTCTAAACTTGATGTAGATAGGGGTACCTACGAAAGGATAGAACTCTCTGATTGACTTTAAGAGATATCTGACAATGGAAGGATCTACGTCCTCTGGATTGTTAACCCAGAACAAGAATGTTGGTGGGAAATGTTTGGTTTGAATTGCATATTTTAACTTTAAACTGTTTTTACCTTTCTTTGGGAACTTGTGTTTAAATGTGGCCTCTTTGATAATTTGTAATAATTGACTTATCTTTAATTTCTTTTCTCTTTCAAAGAATACTTTGATTGAAAGATCGATAGCAGTTGGTACACAAAATCCAGTTTTAGCAGAGGTGAATAACACGGGAACAAAATCTAAAAATGATAGTTTTGAACGTAATTCTTTTTCAAATATCTTTTGGTCCTTGGTCAATTTTGGTAAAGTTATTTCTGGTGGTGGTGGACGTTTAAAACTATTCTCTTCATTTGCAATTGCCTCTTCTCTTTCTTCCTTCTTTTTCAAATACTCGACATATGCCTTATCAAACCTTTCATCTTCGTCAATATCGTTTTTATCTAATGGTGCTGCATTTGGTTGGGATTGCTGTTTGTTTTTGAAATCTTTTAATAATTCATCGATATCGAAATCATACTCTTCGTCATCATTATCCTGTTGCATATCCTGTTTATTGTTATTTGACTCTGGCCAATAAATTTTACTGTAGTCCAAATCTGATGAATTAGCTGTTAGTTGTACTTTATCATTTTGATCCTCTTCTTCCTCTTCTTCGTCTTCATCTTCATGGTGTTTCTGCTTATTCTTTTTTTCTCTTTTTTCTTCTAAAAGCGACGATTTCTTTTTATTTGTACCTGAAACGTTATCATCTGTTTTTGTTGATTTTTTATTTTCGGCTAATAATTCATCCAATAGTGACTTGTATGTATAATTTGGTTCGATATTTGCATCAGAAAAAGCTGCATATTGTGATAAACTTGTTGTATTTTGTTTTTGGAAATTGTGAAAGAATAATTGATCTGAAAGCTCTTCTCTAGTTTTTTTATTCTTTAAATACAAATCCCATTTATTAACCAGTATGATACAACTCTTTCTATTTTCCATAATAAAACTAGCAATCTTTAAATCTTGATCGGTGATACCAACTGTAGCATCGATTACGAGGAACACAACATGCGACTTTTCTATTGATTTTAATGCCCATAATACAGATGACTTTTCTAAACCGACTTTATGAGTAGATCTTCTTCTAATACCGGCTGTATCAACTAAACAAAGCTCGTGTTTATCTCTCCATAAAAAGTTGCAATCTACTGGATCGTGTGTTGTGCCTGGAATATCAGAAACGATTGAACGCTGCTCGTCTATAATCTTATTTAATAAACTCGATTTACCTGCATTGGGTTTACCTACAATTGATATTCTAATTGGACCTGGACCAAGTTCTTGCTCTATTCTTTCATTTGATAAATCCATGTATGGGAATTTCGATAGAATTGTTTCAAACATTGAATGAACACCATCACCGTGTAATGCAGAGAATGGCATTGGTTCACCGAAACCCAATCTTGTAACCTGTACTTTTAAATCCTCGAATCCCTCTGAACGCTGTACAACATTATCTGCTTTGTTTACCGCTATATAAATTGGTTTACCATTAAGTGACTGTTTCTTTTTTCTAAGCATTCTAGCCAACTCCTTATCGATTGGGGTAATTCCACTCTTATAATCCAAAACAAATAAAATTGCATCTGATTCTTCTATTGCAATCTCTGCTTGGCTATGAATTACTTGTTGAAATTGATCTTTTTCACCCTCATCCTTTGGTTCACCAATTAAACCACCAGTATCTACCAATATAAATTCTCTACCATATAAAAATGCTTCTCCATAATAACGATCACGAGTTGTACCTGGTATTTCTTCGACCAATGCCTGTCTTTGACCTTGAATAATTCTATTAAATATAGTAGATTTTCCAACATTAGGTTTACCTATAATAGCTATAATTGGTTTATTTGCAATTGGTTTCATTATTACTCTTTTATAATTATTACTATTATTATTATTATTACTGTCACTATTATCAGTGTTATTAATATTATCTATATTACTATTATTATTTTCTTTATTAAAAATATAATTTTCATTTCCCTCTATAAAAGGGCTGAAAGTATTTTCCTCTTCGTTGTCTTCGATTTCCCAACCTTCACTTAAACTTTCTAGTCCATTGTCATTAGTTGTAGTTTCTGTTGCATGAGTAATCTCATCCAATAAATTGTCATGCACACCATGGAAATCTTCCTCATTACTATCTATATTAAATTTCTTTTTTAATTCATTTTCATAACTATTATTATTTAAACCATTATTTTTATTTATATTTATATTATTTGTATTATTATTATTATTATTACTATTATTATTATTATTATTGTTTGTACAAAAAGTCCTATGATAAATAAATTTATTTAAAATAAAGTTATTATCGGACTTTGAATTTAATACGCTGTTATTGTGTTGGTAGTAATTATATTTAAAGTAGCATGATTTTAATCTATTAGATATTTTTTGGTCAATTAATCTTTTCATTGTTAAAATACATGTACTCGGTTTGTTAATTAATTTTTTTTTCGTGCCAAAATTTTAAAAAAAAATTTTAAAAAAAAATAAAAATAAAAAATAATAAATATGAAAAAAATATTTCTTTTTATAAAAATAAAAAAAAAGGAAATATAAATCTAATGTCAGATAAATATATATAATTAATATATATAATGTTCATAAAAGTTACTATAATACATCTCTTGAAATATTTAATCGGAGTTTAAAAATTAAGATTTTCATTATGTCTTTAAAAATATAGGGATTAATTACAATTTGATTTATTTTCTTCAATTTTTTTTTTATTTATTACCATTATTTATTTTTTTATTATATATAAACTATATTATTTTTTTCACTTTCTTCCTAATTACTTTCGGTTTAAAAAAACTCTAAAAATAGGTTTTTATTTTTTTTTCATTTTGCAATTTTTTTTTTTTTTTTTTTTTTTTTTTTTTTTAATCTCAACCAATATTTTTGAAAAAATATTAAAAAAATAACATCACAAAAAAAAAAAAATAATCATAAATCAAATCATAAATCATAAATCACAAATCATAATTCATAAAATTTAAATCATAAATCATAAATTATAAATCATAATTATAATAAATTAATCAATGTAATGTTTTATAAATAACAACAATAATAAAAATAAATACACAATTTAATTAAAGCCAATATCAATGAATCATGATTCATGAAAAGTTTGTAATTTTAAAATTAGTTATATAATTAGAACACATACTTATTTTTTAAATCTCTTTTAAAAAAAAATTCAATCATATTTCATATGATTATATCTGAAACGTGTGGATCTTTTTTTTACACTTTTTTTTTTCAACAAACCCCTTTTGCAATTAAATCTTTTTTTTTTTTTTTAAAAATTAAAAAATATTTGTTAAAAAAAAAAAGATATAAAATTAATTTTTTTTCAATTTTTTTTTAGTAAAACATTTTCCCCACCCACACACATTCACTCTCCAACATACACATATAAACATTCACACCACACATCAAACCTCCAATTATCAACAATAAAAGTAATATTCATATTGTTATTATTATAATTATAATTTTGACATATTTTTTTTTTCTTTTTTTTTTTTTTTTTCCTCTCTCTTTAATTTTATTTTTATCATCTCCTTCATAATCACCAAAAAAACTAATTATAAAAATATTCTTTAAATGGTATTGGTAACTAAAAAAATGAAACCCTTAATAATAAATTATAATAAATTATTTTTAGCTCCTTTTTTTTTATTTTTTTATTTTTTTTTTAATTTTTATTTAAATTTTCATCTATCTTTCTCACACAACATTTTATTTTCACTATAAATAACTTTTTTTTCTTTAAATAACCAAGAAATCAAATAACAATATAGAAAAATTCTAAATCGTGATCATATCATTAATATAATCATCACCTTATTTTTGTTTATAATTAAATTTATATAGTGTTGTTTTAATAATCATTCTTTGATTTACCACTTTTATTTTTATAAATTTGGTAAATAATTTATTTATAACATCAATGAATGCTTTTTTTAAGCTTTCTATCAGATAGTATCACCACTTTTCAATATATATATTATATATTTAAAAGTACTCTTATTCCCCTCTGCACCCAACCACATTAAATCACTTTATTATTATCACCATCATTATAATTTTCAATTTTTTTATAATAAACACAATCAATACAATATTAAAATAATCATAATAATAATATGAAAAAAATAGAAAATAATAATTTTATTAAAGACACTCGTACAGATATAAACCTTTTTAAAAAAAGTGTGTTATTTCAATTTTTTTTTTTTTTTTTAATAAAAGATTATTATCTTTTTTTAGTTAAAATAGAGTGTGATTTGTGGGTTTTTGTGTTGGTGGTTATATAACTGATAATAATAATAATTATAATCATAAAAAAATATAATAATCCAACAATCATTCACTCAGTTTGTTCCTCAATCTCTATTATTTTTTTTTCCTCTTCTTTTTTTTAAAGAAAAATGATAATAATAGTAAATAAATTTAATATTAAAACAACAACAAGAAAACAATTGGAAAATTATATATAAAAAAAAAAAAAAAATGATAAAATTTTCACTTATTTTGGATTGTTGTTCAAGATTCTGACTGAATGAACGAATCCACTTATTTATTTTTTATAATATAATATATTAATTTAAATTATATTATTTTAAATATTTATAAAAAAAAAAAAAAAAAAAAAAATTTTATTCAATAATTTTAAATGTCTCATTATAATAATAACAATAATAATAATAATAATAATAATAGTAATGGATATCCAACAAACCCAAATAATTCAATTTTCGATTTAAGACCTAAATCAAATGTTTTTCAAAATACACAAAGATCTGCTTTCAAAGAGTATCGTGTACATGAACCAGTTAAATTTGGGTATTTTCACGATGTTCCAGATCCAATTTTTAATAGACAGCAACCACCATCATCAAATCTTAAGCAAACTGTTGATAGGCATGGTGTTATAACTTATGATTTGGATGACTCTATTCCACCAAGAAAAGAGGATATCCCGGTTCAAAATAAATCAAATAATAGTGGCCATTCTTCGTACAGTAGCTCTAGTGGCAGTAGTGGCAGATCTCGTTTTTCATCACCACCAAATAGTAATGTTTTTCAATTCTCTCCAAATGAATATAATGCAAGCCTAAATGGAAATCTTTCAAAGTTTTCTCCTTCTCCAACAAATTCGAAATTAAACAATGCTGATATTTCTCCACAAGATCTTTACCAGCAAAATCAACAGATGCATCACCAAAGACAACAATACAGTAGTAGTGGTGGCTCTTCACCTCAAAATAGTTCACCCCCTTACCAAAGCCAAATGAATAAATTAAGAGTTTCAGAAAGAGATCAAAATAACCATTATCTTTCTCCATCTACTGTGTCACCTGATGGTTACTCTACTAAAAGCTCTCCACAATTTAAAATGTCACCTGTTCAGTATTCGCCACCAAATTCAAGTTCTGGAGCTACTGGTTCTGCCTCTTCTACTTCTGGCCAAAAGTCATCATCATCATCATCATCTTCATCCTCTGCTTCAAAAGGAACCAGCCAATTAGAGTTTGGCCTTACACCAAAGTATGAATCAAGAGTACCACAGATCTATAGAACAACAACAACAACATATAAATCGTCGTCGCCACCAAACCACACATTGGGTTCCCCAGCTGGATCACCATCATTAAATTCAACTTTAACACCTGCACAGTTACAGTCTGCTATCAATAGTAGTCCATCACCATCTTCGTCAACATTAACAAGAGCCTCGACAAATAGCGATGTTTTTTCTAAACTAACACCACAAGCATCTCTTGTTTTTAATAATTCTCTATCAAAATCTTCTGCTTTACCCTCACAATCAGTTCCCAATCCAACTGCACAAAAACCATCTGTAATATTACAATCATCTTCAGTTTCATCATCAACAACAATATCACCAACTTCATCATCCTCACCATTACAATCACCTTCATCATCACCAAACCTTATAAGTCAACAGGCTAAAATTCCACCCTCAATTCAACTACCAACTACTTTTAAGCAAACACAACCAACACAATTTCAACCATACCCAGTTGGTCAACATCAACAACCACAGGTACAAAAGTCACAACCAACTTTATACACACCCAGCTATATTAGTGGTAATAATAGAAACAGCAGCAATAATAGTTCAGTTTCACCATCATCTTCATTATTGCATTTAAATATTCCATCACCAAGATCTGTTCAATTGGTTTCACCAAGAACTCCTACTAGTGCTCCACAATCACCAAAAACTGCTCCATCAGCATTGCCACCACAACCATTGGCATCACAACCATCTCCATCTCCATCACCATCACCAAGAGCCAGTATTTCAAATTTAAATTCACCAAGATTGGGACCAAATCAAAATGGATTACCAGTTTCTATACCAAGTGAACAAAATTTACCATCTATTTTAACACTTGAACAACAAGCATATAAGATTTCCGTTCCAGGTGGTTCATCATTCATCCAAAATTCACATTTGCCAAGTAACCATCATTTAAATACTCAAGCTAAATCAAAAATAACTGAACCATCAGATATTTATCAACATGAATATAAAAAATCACAAGTTCAACAAGAGAAATCTATAGTTCAACTTGAAAAGCTCACAATTTCACGTCCAAATTCATATAAAGATAATGATTTAGTTGCTAATCAATTGGAATTATTGGAGCCATACAAAGAAAAATCATTTAATAATGACAATAATAATAATAGCATTGGTATAAACAATATAAATCATATAAATAATATTAACAACAATAAAAATTATGGTAGTAGTTTGGTTGAAAAGGAAAATGATTTAGGTTCATTACTAGCCAACAGAATTAAACATCGTAGTAATCAAAATTCATTCCAATCATTATTTAATTCATCAGAAACCTCAATTAGACCATCATACCAACATGAACAAAAAACAATGGTTCAACAAAATTTAGAAGATTCACATAGTTATGCAAATAATAATCAGCAATCAATTTTAAACAAAGAATTCGAATTATTTTCAGCTAATGAAATTAAAGCTGCTAAAAAAGTTTATGGTTTAAATGAGTTTGAAAATACTGCCGAAGAGGGCGAGGAGTGTGAAGAGTGCGAAGAAACAGCATCGTTTTTTGGTGAGAATCAAAATAGTACCTTAGATTCCATGAAGTTTTTAAATATTTCAAACACATTAAACCATGGTTTCGCTTTATTTGATCCATACCAATCAAAAGACCAACTTGATGCAGAGTCCATTATGAATGAGTTGGGTCTCAGTGATGAAAATCCAAGAGAAGTCAATCAAAAGATTATAGAAGGTGAAATATCCAACTGGGAAAAACAATATCAACACCTAATGAGATGTTTTTCAAAGCTTGTTAGTGTCCAAAATTATTTTGTTGATAACTTTGTCTCTCAATTAGAATTTGAATTTTTACGAATTAAAAAAGCCCACCAATATTCAGGAAGAGCTGTGGTCTTTAATGTAGAATCTATATTCCACTCTGTTATCAAAAGTTTACCAAGTGATAGCCATATGGTTTTCTTTAAGCAACATCAAATTATTAAAGCTAAGCTCTACAAAGATAGCAAGGAAAGATTAGATGTAGACAAAGAGTTGGAAGATTTACCACACCTATCCGATTTTGATGCTGTTGTTAAAATTAACGATATTTTTAATAGTAATGTTAACAAAGAAAACTTTAACCCATCAATCTTATTAAATATGCTTCCAAAATCTAATGTAACCCAACCATTATCATCATCATTATCATCATCGTCATTATTGTCATCATCATCCCAAACTGCTCAACCACAAGAATTGTTACAAGACTTTTTAGCCGACGATAGTAGTGACGAAGAAAGTGATGGATCAAATTCTAGTTCCAATACTTTTTCTAGTACCACTAGTACTTGTAATAGTACAAAGAGTGTCGAGGTCCCAGAAAAGAACTTTATCATCCTAAATTCTGTAGATACGTCAGCTCTAAGAAAAGAATCATTTATTTTAAGACCAAGAGACACTCCATCAAGACATTTATCAATTAAAAACATTAGAGGAATTAACCAAGTTGAGCTCAAAATTAGACTCGCATCATATGGTCCAATTAAAACTGTTTATGGTACTGGTAAACCAAATGGTGGTTTCATTATCGTTACATATTATGATATCCGTGACGCTGTTTCTGCCCATAACGATCTTCAAAACATCAAATTCGGTCGAGAATTATTAATCAATTATTGTGTCTCTAAAGATGAAATCGACTATGGAACTTTGGTTGTTTTTAATCTTCCACATGATATAGATGTGTTTTCAATTTTCCTTTTCTTTAATCAATTTGGTGATATTGTTGAAATTAGACACACTCCAAATAAACCAACTCATAAATTTGTAGAATTCTACGATACAAGAAGTGCCAACGAGGCAATCAAGGCCATCAAGGTTTTGAATAGGACTAATAACCAAACTGGTATAGACAAAATTAGAATTCAATATTCACGTCCAGGAGGTTATAATAAAAATTTGGCAGAATGCAATTCATCAGTATCTTATGATATTACACATTTATACTTTAGTTCAAACCAACAAAAAGTTTTTTTCTCTTGTCTTTCAAAAGTTAAAGTTGCTGACTTTATAAAGCAATTAGAGCTTCAAAATTTAACCACTATTAATAACAATAATCATAAATTAAGTTATAATGATTATAATGAATTTATAAAGACGGTCAAATATCCACCAACAAATAATAATAATAATAATAATAATAATAATAATAATAATAATAATAATAATAATAATAATAATAGTAATAGTAATATTAATAATAGTAATATTAATAATAACAGTAGCAACAATAATAATAATAACTCTCCAATAATCGATCTTAAAATTGCATCCCAATATGCTGCCTACTCTGAAATTTTTGGTTATTCAACTTCAATTCCATCAGAAACATTGGAATCTTTACCAATTGCAGATTTAACCTCTTCTATTCTAGGTATTGGTAAAAGAAATGATAATCCAACACACACCAAATTCAACTATATCGATTCAGTAATTTGTAATCTTATTAGACTTTTCAAATCATTCAGTTTGAGGGGTGATAAAGATTGGGTTCCCGTAGACATTGGGTCGCTCTCTCACGATACAACCATCAACAAGTTCTCATTACCACCAGCTTTTTACAATTTATTACAAAGACAGCAACGTGTTGAAAAAGAGCTTGATGATTATATTCCAAAGAAGTCAGTTTTAGAAGGTATCGATCTTTTAGATTATAATCAAAATATCAACGAACATATCTATAATAGTATTTATGACGACGATGAAGACGATGATGAAGATAAACATTTACAAACACAAATACAACCATTCAACAATGAGGATGATGTAATTGATTTTGGTGAAATCTCAACCTACAATTATTATAGCACTTTCATTAATAATATTGGTGATAGTAATAGCAATGGTGATAATAATTACAATGGTGGTACCAATGGCAACTCTAATGGCGATAGTAATGATGATATTACTCTTGGTATCTTATCAAATACTAGAGGTAAAGCACAGAAAGGTAAAAAGGGTTTATCTAGAATTGAATCAGATGATGGTAAACCATTATCAATTCACCAAGCTAGAATTAAGCAAAGAAAAGAACAAAGAACACAACAAGTGACCGCTGATGAAAGTACTATTGTTAGAATCGAATCAATAAGAAATACTATCGATACAAGATGCTCATTAATGATTAGAAATATTCCAAATAGACTACCTCAACAAACTTTAGTGGAGATTTTTAATGAAAAGTTCCCTGATTCATTTGATTACTTTTATTTACCAATTGATCCATATGTAAGTAGTTTTATTTTATAATAACAGTAATAATTATAATTATAATAATAAAATTATATTAATATATGTTTTTTTTATCAAACAGACTAAAGTAAGTTATGGTTATGCTTTTATTAATTTCAAAACCTATAGAACCATTATTAGCTTCTATGAATATTTCCATCACAGAAAATGGACCAATTATTATTTCCAAAAAGTTTGTGAAATGGCTTATGCAAGATACCAAGGTAGGGTTGCTTTAATTCAACATCTTAAAAACAGTGCTAATCAATATAAAAGAAATACAGCTATTATTTATATTGACGAAGGTAACTTTAAAGGTGAAAAACATTTAAACGAAGTTAATTTATAAATTTTTTTTTCCAAAAAAAAAAAAAAAGAAAAAAAAAAAAAACAAAAAGAAAAAAAGAAAAAGAAAGAACCTGTACTATACAATCAACAAATTTTAAAAAAAAATAAATTATCTTTAAAAAAAAAAAAAAGAAAAACAAATTATCTTTTTTTTTATACAAATACAAAATTTTCGCCTATTTTTTTATTTTTTTATTTTTTTATTTTTTTATTTTTATTATAACCATTTGTCACTTCATCTTTAAAAATAAGCATTCTAGAATGAGTATAAACCGGGTTTTTTTTTTAAAAAATTACAAAAAAAACCTGGTAAAAAGATATTTTTTATAAAAATTTTATTTTGATGTCAAATTTTTAGGATTTCGATAAAGGGGTAAAAATAAATATTAAAATTAAACTGGTAAAAAAAAATATAATTCAAGATAAAAAAAAAAAAGTATAAATAAAAAAAAAAAAACTTTTGTTTAAGTATTAAAAAAATAAAAAATATATAAACAAATAATAAATATTATATTTACAAAAACTATTTTATTAATTTATCGTTTCTTATTAAAAATGAAATTATTACTTTCTTTAATTTTAATTGTTGCTTTATCAAGTTCTTTAATCAATGCTTTCAAGATGCCATCCAAAGGTATTAAAGATGTTGATTGTGCCGCTAAATTTGCTAGTCTCAGTGGATATAACACTTTGTTTGATGTAGTATCAGCAAATGGGGTATATCAAAATGGCGACCAAGAGGGACAGGCTTCATTTTATGAATCTGGTTATATCTCTGTAGACTATGAAAACCAACAAGTATATATAGCATTTGGCCTTAATATCGATGGTAATGATATCGTAGGAAAAACTTGGTTATATTCAAAAAATGTAATTATTGAAATTTTTAAAAAAAAAAAAAACAATATTCTAAAATTTTTTTTAAAAATAGCAAACCCAATATGTCATGGTTAATGATCAAACATGTATTAAAGTTCCATTAACTTCAGGAATTCCAGTAACTAATGAATTTACTCAAGTTGGTGAAATTAATCTTGGAATGATTAATACCCAAATCCTCCAACCAATAGTCTCAGACTCATTAACAATTCAAGAACTATTTGTTGAAACTCAATATTGTTCCCCACTAACTGCTAAAATTGCCAATGCCCCAAATAAAACACCTGGTTATTCATTAATGAATTTCTACAATTACCAAAATACTGTTTCCCAAGCTGATTTTGTATTGCCAGCTGAATGTTCTGATTTAAATTCAATCAAACTATCATCTCATAAGTTAATTAAACCATACCCAAAATTCTTAAATCAATTGCTTTAAATAACAATTAAAAAAAATTATTTAAAATATTAATATTTAATATTTTTTATATTAAACCCATTAAATAAAATTTATATTTAATCATTTAAATGTTTTTTTTTTTAAAAGTAAAGATGATTTAAAAGTTCTATTATATTGAGATAATTAAATGGATGTGGTTTTTATTTAAACTTTATTTAGATTTATTTTTATTATATATCATAAAAATAAATGGTTTTTTGTTATTTTTTAATCAAATAAATTAATTTAAATCCTTATATTTAAATAAAATAATTTAAATTAAAAATGGTTCAAAAAAAAAAAACCAAGAAAAGAAAAGAGGTAAAAAGAAATTGAAAGAAAAGAAATTTTTTTTTATTTTAAAATTATTATATTATATTTTTTTATTTTATTTAATTAAATTCTGAATCAATATACCTATTTTTCTTCAATGGACTTGAAATAATGCCAGTCTTTAGGTAACATTCAAAATTAATATAAAGTCACTCTGAAAATATTATTGTGTAACACTCCATATTTTGTCTATAAATATGGATTTCATTTTGTGTAGTAGTGTCTGCGTTGAAATATTATTTTTAAAATAGTTTTGTTGAAATCTTGCTATTCTTTCATCTATTCCAATTGACCTTCTAATCATAACTCTTTGCTCATCTTGATTTGGTGATTGATCTGTTTAATCTATTCTATATGTCATTTAAAAATCTTGATCTTTCTGAATTATCCATATTTAAATAAATGCTTTGGGTTATATATAATTATTTATTCTTATTTTTACTATTTATTTTGCTTTAAAAAAATATTATTTTAAAAAAAAATATTTAAAAAAAAAAAAAAAAAAAAAAATTGATTTAATATAAAAACTATTTTATTTTTTCTTTAATTAAAATTATTTAATTATCTCTTTTATATTGTGTGATTTTATTAATTTGTTATATATTAAAAACAAAAAAAAAAAAAAATAAAACATAAAATCAAATGCATCTGTGTGCTCTTTTATAAAAAGTGTTGATGAATTTTTATCTAAATATTGTAAAACCAGATATGGCACCTACTTTAATTGAGAACCTTTTTTCAAAATTAGAAATTTTTTGAAAAGATGAAGGTTTTACTTTATATTGTTGATTAAAGGGTAATTTGTATAAAAGTCAAGTTCCCAATTAAGATTATTTTTCCAAAATTTATTAAAAATAATATAAAAATAATATATTTTTTATGTTTTTTTTATTTATTATAATATTTTTTAATTTAATTATATTTTTTTTAATTTTTTTTAAATTGTTTTAAAAAGTATATTAAATTTTTTTTTTTTTTTTTTTTTTTTTTTTTTTAAAAAAAACTAAAGCTTTCAAAAACCCCCCCCCTATTTTGCTTTGTCCGTGGCTTTTTTTTTTAACATTCCAACCACCCTCCCCCCTGGCATAATAATTATGTAAAACGCATATTGGTTAATTCCTCCCAACAAATTATTTAATTTATTTGGTTTTTCGGGCTCCAATTAAAAAAAACAAAAATGTTGTAAAGAATTGCTTTTATTTGTACGAAGGCATAGGGGTTGATTTGATTCGAAATGACAAGAGGCTACATTGACATGGCCATACACAGGACCTGCCAGGAATGTAACAGGGTTTTGGACGCCATCCCTCATGCGCAGACACACCTAGAAGGGCTTTTTAAACACTCGCATATTATCCACAGTAACCCTTCGGCTCTGAACCGAAAACCACCACACTTTTCCCCAGCTCGAAACTCGGTGCAGTTTGCAATTT